AGTAAAGAACTTCTTCTGATTTTGAAAGCTCCATGAAAAATTATGTTCTTTGTACGTATATTTTTTATTTATGAGAGGAGCGAAGAAGCCCTCCGCGTGACGGAGGCCAGAGCTTGGCATGAGCACCTCACTTCACCGCGGCTGGATGCACACTGACGTGGATCGCTCATTAGTGGACGTGAGTCTTCCAAGCGACGTAGAAAATACGATCAGTAATTTTGCTCAATATTGATGGAATTATGCGGGAACTCAGGTCAAAACGCACAGATAAGTTTTCGATATAATGATCTTAATTATGAGCGACATTCATTCATTCATCGCGATAAAAAAGAATAAGTCATACAGAAGCGGTATAATGTACATAAGATAGTTTAATGTGACATAAGTTTACCGTAGAGTTTTTGAATAAAAACATCGTAAACTGGATTGAACGAAATTAATCAAACATGAAAGCTTTCCGTTGTAAGAATTGAAAAATCCCTATCCAAAGACAAAATAATTTACTCTATATTTAAAAACATTTTCGCATTTCTTTCGCTATTACCACCAGTGCAAGTTCATAATTCTCTATTAAATATTCGTAAATGCGTTATTAATTCCATTTTTTGTATAGTTTTTTTTTCTCTCGCTGTAAAGTGCAACATACAAAATTCCCGCTTTGATCGACCATCTTTGGTCTTCCTTGTGATGTGTGCGGAAAAAGCTAATTTCCAGCGTTAACTCGTTCAGATGACAGTTGGTGCATTACTAATTTAAGTCGATACTTTCATCATCATATAAAATGATAATCAAATAATCTGTACATATTCATAAATATACATACTCGGATCAATAAACGAGAAAATTTCTTTCGAAATAAATCGAAACTTAATCAATGGCAAATATGAACATAAAAAATGAGATATGATTCCATGGTCGCAGATGACGAAGACTTATATTAAAATAGTCATTACCTCCAATAAAACTCAACGCAGTCATACCAAAGATTACACTTAAATTTGCGCATTTTTGTTCACTTAAAATCCTCAAGCGCTTGTATTTTGCAATAAAATGCGGTGGAGAATAATTATTATTTTGCCTTTCCGATGTCACAATTATTTTCGATGACCTGAGTCTGTGTGACATTGTGAATGCCAAAATTGTTTCGCATAAATTCTTATTAATATTTAACTTTCGCCAGGCCACATATTTTTGCACCGTTACAAACGTACTAAGTGTTTGTACAGTTATATGTTCTAATGCAGACTGCATGACAAGGGTTATACCAAATTTCAGAAGTCTTCATAAGAAATTTCAGATGTCTTCATAAGAAATCAAGGGTTATATAAAATTTCAGAAGTCTTCATGAGAAATCAAGTATTTACCTCTAAAGAAGCAAACAGTGTCGTTTTGAAATGTGTAGTTCAAAGTTAGCCTAAAACAGTTATAGTTTTACTTTGTATTACCAGTACTGTATAGGTGGCGTAAAAAATAAGCTGTTTACAAGATGCTTGATGCACGTAAGAAAAGTTTGAAACTTGCGTACTCAGAAATGAAAACAAGCAATAAAGTCTCTGAAATGAACAACGATAACTTCCAGGGAGTGGCTGCAACCATTAATAAATGATGGAGAACTTTTAATAAACCGGCATGGTCTGAAAGCGTGTTAGTTAAAGCAAGCTTGTAGAGACAGCAACAGCTTGCAATGTTTAGTAAGCAGTTTTAACACGGATGAAAAACGGGGAAAAATGATCTTATGCGAACGAAAAAGAATGTTTCAACGCGAATATAAATTGTGGAAGAAATGTTTCAACGCGAATGAAAATTTAGGAAATATATTTAAGCGGAAATGAAAAAAAAGAAGCTGGTAAGTTTAATAACACTGGCCGCTAGAAACAAGAGAGTCGTTTGCAACATTATCAATGTTATTGTTGACATAGAGAACTAGAATAAACAGGCCGTCAAGTTTCCAAAGAATTTAAATACGTGAAATTTTTTCAAAATTACCAGTTAAAAATTCATTTGAAACGAACTTTGCTGATCTCACTTACAGAAATTTCCTTTGATAGTTCAGTAAGAACTTCGAAAGTCGGACTCTTGTTCTTCGTATTGACGACTGGATTGTAGAATGATCACAGTTGCAGATCAAAATACAAGGCGAGAACAATTTAGCCTGGTAAACTTTAAAAACGAAAACTTCTTCCTTGTAAATGAGCATTGAGCAAATATTCAAATTTGCAATAAGTCAAATCTAAAAAAATTCAAATAATTTGATGTAAAAACAAGCGAATTACGATTTCGACATAGCATTGCGGGATCTTTCGAATATCATTTGTCCGAAGAAACTTTTAAGTGCTTCCATCCTATTTATAGATCTCGATTAACTCGAATTATTGCTTATATTGATATTGCTCAGAGAAAAATAAGTCATATTGTATTATATGTGAAATGCAACGCATATAATAAAAATTTTATTAATTAATAAATGAGATAAAAAATACCTCTACACAATGCAAAGCAAATATGTATTTTATTTCCCCTGCATACTTGGTTTTCTTTCTCCAATGTTTCTTGAAGAAAACTTTGAAGGCAGACTGCGAGAGTAACGTTTGCGTTGCATGAGAATTCGTTCACTGTTTAAAACTTACCGGTTGTAGAATATTCCGTTTCGTAGATTGAGGCTTTACATGTTGGTCGTTGTAAAAAATTCATGCCATGCCACTATATAAGCTGCATTGTGATTAATTTCTCATTTATCATAGGCCCCACGTTTGAAAAATGTGAATATTACACTAATATCAAAGAAATTTTCGAGATATCAAAATTCTTAAATAACCTGTTTCATTATTGATTTTTCGAGAGATACGTGAAAATATTCTTCACTTAAGAGAAAGATGATCATTAATCAACACCTGCGTCTTAAAACATGACACGAGTAAAATTCGCGCAAAGTTTTTCATCACATTCACACGGCATTCCTGTAAATGAAATATTTTTATAAAGATTAACACGCCATATATACATTCAAATACATACGTATTGGATTCAAAAGGACTAAGTTGGATTTTAAGATTAATCCCCTAAATTACTGTCTTGATAAAAGGGAAAGAGGAGTTGGTCAGACTAGATATGAATTAAACATAAATTGTCAATTGAATTTAAATTAGGTGTAATTAAATTAATCAAAGATGTATTAGTGGAAGTCATTATTAAAGTAAACTCGTAGTAATCCTGCGGATGATATCCTGGTCGACAAAATATTTTACCCATGCCCTGTAATAATGTCTATGGAATATTTTACTCATGTCATGTTCTAATGTCTAACCTTTGTTCGCAGGCCTTTTAATATACCTACTGTACATGTCGACATTCAACTAAATAAACACGAAAACTCGGACCTGCATCCTCCCTTTACCCTACCAGTATTTAGGGAAGCCTCAGTCAAATACGAAATCTTCAGCGCAATATTAAACGACTAGTATCCCTCAATCTTCAGTGAGACCCCTCAGTTACCCTCAAACTTCTCTCAGTAGTCCCTCAATCGCCAACATCCCTCAGAACTACTTCAAGTTCAAACCTCATCGACCCGTACAAATATTGCTCTCATCCAAGTATAAGAAAGCAGAAAATATAATTCAGTTATCTGTCTGTCTATGATTGATGCTTAGATAGATTGCGCTACAAAAATACAAACGTTTTGCTGATTATCGTATTATCATCACGTTATCAGCAGTAATAAAGTCATGGTGCTCATGTAATCTTGGATACAAGTCGAAACCTTGCTGACCTTGAGGCGCAAGACGCAACTAAAATGTTTATGACCAACGCCACGACGAGTTGTTGGCAAGCGATACTTCGTCTCAGTGTTGAATCTCAGTGTTCATTTGGATGTGACGAGTATAGCTCACTCTGTTGGTAAATCCTTTGTTTGAATAAATTGAAATAATTTGTCGTGTGATTGAATGGTGTAGTGGAATAGTTGCGTTTGAATATAGGCATGAGGCAAAGGCAGCATTGTGGTGATTAACGGTGCTGAGGAGGGGTGCCTTCCCAGCATCAGGGATGTTAAAATTTATACAAATATTATTGAATCAATATGAGAACCCAGTGTAAATTCATAAAGATTCTGAGCAACTCTTGTTCATAATGGAAAAAATGAAATAATAGCAAAACTTCTCGTTTAATAACTGCTAATTGCATGATTACTGCTATGTAAACTTACCAAACAGCAGAACAATGAAGTATTTTTGCGTTTCATTGAATTGTCATTTTATATTATCACAATACAACGCTTCGTTTTTAATGAACTACATAGAATTAACTGATATAAAAATTACATGCTAATGGAGGTGAGGTTTTGCTTGAAATGACGGACAAGAATTTATCTGCGCTAGATTTGTTATCAGGATAAGCTTTGGATAGGCTTTTCCAATTAGCCTGGGACGGGTGATTGCAATCAGGCCATTTTTTTATTTTACTTTCAAATAAAGAACGGGCGACTAGTGGAAAGCAATTAATAGACTAAATATATTTCATCATCCCACCGAAGAACGTCATACGTGCATTCAATGGGTTACAAACGTTGATAAATCAAAAACTAATGTTAATTTGGAGTTTTCTATTAGTAATTAGGAGACGTACTTAATGACAGTGACATAGAGATTAGGTTTGCATTTTGTAAAGAGGATCACGTTAAAGATATATATTCAAAATATTTATTGGCTGAATTATTTGCTACACTTTTAAATAAGAATTATGACTTTAATGCTGTGATTTAATCAGAACTGACTTTGAATGGTTCTCATGTCTACTCATTTCTATTAGAAAGAGAAAAGAGAATACATGAAATGCTAAATATATAATAATAATTAACACTCCATGCTCAAATGGCAGGAATTATTTTGCGAGAATAACCGGTTCCTTGTTATTACAGTCATTTCTAAAATTGTTATCAATAAGAACTGGTGCATCTTACGTCTAAGTAATAAGAATAGGAGAAAATAAATAAGACAAAGTAACGCTTTGTTGTGGGTCTCACCACAGCCACGCAGCTGCAACAAGTGGCACCACATGTGGAGGTAAGGAGTGATGAACTAAATATAGATACTTTCAGTAGATAATGAAACTTGCTAGCGTATTTAATAAATTTTTGAAATAAATGTAGATACTTTCAGTAGATAATGAAACTTGCTTGCGTATTTAACAAATTTTCTTCATAAACAATGCAGACGTTGTTCTGTTCCTTCTTTCACGTGGGATTTTAAAACATCTGCAAAATTGAGTAAAATTCAAAACTTTTTGTACCAAAGGACCAACAGTGATGTCATATTTGAAACATGTCAAGTTTCTGTAACTGAGAATATTTTTTAGTTCGTTTTGTACATGAAATATGTTGAATATTCTGATAAAAAAAACTGCTGGAAAAGATAATGTCAAGTAAAATTCATCGAGCAGATGACAATTGCAGTGCAGAGCGCAGATTTTTGTTCCGCATTGCAGCACCATAATTAGGCGGCGTCTTGGGCCCATTTAATTAACAAATTTTTTAATATATAAATTACTAAAGTGCTGCTATTAAGTGGATTTTAATCTATCCACCTCAGTATAATTTAAGATGAAAAGTGAAAAATAATGTAGGATTGATTAATTTTTGAGATGAGTAGGTAACACAAGATGTTAGGTAAATATTTTTAACATCCGCAATGTTTTCAGGTATAATGTTCTTAAAAACGAACTAAATATTTTAGAAAAATAGTTCAGTATATCATTAAGGCTGTTTGACACTGGTGGGGAAAGGAAGACTATGCGTAAATTACGCGGGTACTGCAAATAATCTAGTGTTCGGAAAACTACACAGTTCGATGCCGATGGTTTCACTGGTGTAAACGCTAGATCGTTTTATGTCATGTAGTAAAAAATTCAAAATTCTGTCTGAACAATATTTTTTGTATGATACGATGTTGCCTCACCCACAACTTGAAAATATGATCCAATAGTCACCATCACTGAACATGCTTTGCACAGTAGAACGCACTTTGATAATCATTTTGAGTTGCACGATGTAATCAGGACATTGCATATCGTAAAATAATATTGTTGGGGACTAATCAATAAATAGGCTTTCTTTGACCCCAGAAACTTGGCCAATGATCGACAATAAAAGATGAACAAAAATGTGATAAATAAAGAACAATAATAACAAATGAACGATAACTCCAAGAAAACAAATTACAAACTATAAACCGTGTTTCTTTCTAGCCCTTGCCTATTAATTCCTAGTTGTGTCCTAGGTTCGGACCCGCGCTCCGTGGTGGATCACATAGCAATGACAAATAAGTAAACATTCATTTGCGAAGTCATCGGTGGTGAATCAAAACGGAAAGACAAATTTAACGAACCCTACTGTAATCCCTAACAATATGTCCAGTAGTTACCATACAATAATGCAGCATCATTTCCATAAGATGATAATTGAAAGTTGAGAGCGGTCTGTTGGAAATTGATTAAACATCCCAAGTGAAAATCGCATTAAATGTTGGAAGGGCATATTTAATGCCTTTTATTATTCTTCCTCATTCTTCAGTATTAGAACACGATTCAAATCTTATTTGTATATTAGATACAGCTTTCTGCAGTCAACATCAAAGGGTTTAATGTACAAGATTTGCTATTTTTTTTGGGGTAATTTGAAATGAGAATACATATGTATGTAGGTAATTTTTCAACGTCATTTACAATTACAATTTTTCAACGTCATTTTATATAGTAACGATTTTCACTATTAAATGATAAAGAGATCGAATGTACATTTCTAGACGCTTTGAACTTAAACGTACCGACAGATATCTCACATCCATTAAAAATGATGAAATTTTTATTGCGGCCTTTGATATTAAGTATTCGTAATTAAACCTAAGAAATGGTAAATTTTCTTACATAACTGGAAGTAGTTCACACGTGTCATTTCTACTGAGACGTCATAAGTTAAGAAAAAAATGTATCCATCAGCTCAAAGACAAACATATCATGCAATTAATTTTTTGATCAAAATACGTGTCATTTCAAATCATAGATAAATGAGATATTGTCTAAAGAAAGTTGAGCGCACCCACCACAATCTAGACCAAAACACTCCTTTATTTTCTGAAAAAAACTCCTTTATTTTCTGCACATTCTAGAGTCTAGACCAAAACACACATGTGCTAACTCCTTTATTTTGTTTTAAATTCATGTACATTTGTTCTTTTATGATAGGAAATAAAAAGCTGTTAGCAGTTAATTTTCTGAAATATTTTATTCCCTTCTAAAGGTGACTCTGATAGCAGACAAGTTCACGGCTGAGACTCTCAGCAACGGCGCCGCAGGAGTCTTCCGTCCGAGCAGCAATAACTTTCGCGGGCCAAACCATGAAACTGCTTCGTGAGTTGTTCATGAAAGTTGTCTATGAAAGTTGTTCATGAAAGTTGTTCATGAAAGTCGTCCATGAAAGTGGTCCATGAAAGTTGTCCATGAAAGTTGTCCATGAAAGTTGTCCATGAAAGTTGTCCATGAAAGTTGTCCATGAAAGTCGTTCATAAAAGTTGTCCATGAAAGTTGTTCATCAAAGTTGTTCATGAAAGTTGTCCATGAAAGTTGTTCATGAAAGTTGTCCATGAAAGTTGTTCATGAAAGTTGTCCATGAAAGTTTTTCATGAAAGTTGTCCATGAAAGTGGCCCATGAAAGTGGTTCATGAAAGTGGTTCATGAAAGTTGTTCATGAAAGTTGTCCATGAAAGTTGTTCATGAAAGTTGTCCATGAAAGTTGTTCATGAAAGTTGTCCATGAAAGTGGCCCATGAAAGTGGTTCATGAAAGTGGTTCATGAAAGTTGTTCATGAAAGTTGTGCATGAAAGTGGCCCATGAAAGTGGTTCATGAAAGTGGTTCATGATAGTTGTTCATGAAAGTTGTCCATGAAAGTTGTCCATGAAAGTTGTCCACGAAAGTTGTTCATGAAAGTTGTCCATGAAAGTTGTGCATGAAAGTGGTCCATGAAAGTTGTCGATGAAAGTGGTCTATGTCATGAAAGTTGTTCATGAAAGTTGTCCATGAAAGTTGTTCATGAAAGTTGTTCATGAAAGTTGTCCATGAAATTGTCCATGAAAGTTGTTCATGAAAGTTGTTCATGAAAGTTGTCCATGAAAGTTGTTCATGAAAGTCGTTCATGAAAGTCGTTCATGAAAGTCGTCTTTGAACTGCCGACAAACGCGTGTATCACTAACTGGAGTTTGTCCAAATGAATCAAAGTTAATTTATTGTTGAATATATTAATTAACTTACCATGAAGATGGTCTAACTGATATAAGCTTTAATATACGTCTTTGATGGAAATGCAGTGACATTGATTTAAAAATCTGATATCAAGAACTTTTTGATGATGATCCAAGGGATCTAACTTGAATTTATTTTTTTTCATGCTGAAATCTCAGGCAGGATTATTCCAAATAATCAAACTTTAATTTATCATTTGAGACGATAGCTTTACAATTAAGCTGATTTAATTAACTAGAATTGAACATGTTTGTGATATTATCACGCCCAAGATTGGTGCAAATAATCCAATTTTATATTCTCGCTTAAGTGATCGGCTTACAATGATTATAAGTCAAATAATTAAACATAATGTAAATGTCTTTTTGATGGAATCACTGGTGGATTTGATCAAATAATCGAACTTTCTCGTTAAAAATGTCAGCATCATGATGAAGGTGATTTAAATAAACAGTAAAAATGTCGCATTAATAAATAATTGCTGATGGCATTTCTTCTACGCTGTAATTTGCGTAATTCCTGCAGCAATTCTTCGTCGTTCAGCTGATCTGCCTAACGACTGACGCGGGATATATTATATATAAGTATATATATATTATATGTGTAGATTATTATAAGATTACGTATATATTTGAATGTTTTTTCCAGGCGATGGCTACGAGATTCGTACGATTACTACAAAGAAATTCTTGATTCTCCAGAGGCCGAGGCAGCAGGCATCAAGAGCCTCGCAGTGACTGTGCTCTCCACTGAACACGAGAAAATAGTCAAGGTTTCATGCCACGCCATTTACTGTTAAATAAAACTTTTATTTTAATAACGATTATATTTCTATAAATTTTAGAATTTTTTAATTTTTTGAGCTAATTTTAGGGTTAAAAGGGGAAACGGAATTCATTTATCTAATCGTGAAATGTCATATTTCCATCATTCCATCTCCTGATTCCCCAATATATTAACATATTTTAATAAATTAATTTGGGTTACCGTCGACTTCAAGAAACAAGTAGTTCATTCATTTATCGGAGGAGGATTTAGGAGAAGAGCCAAAGTTACGCAAAAAAAACGATTAATATTTACACTGGTTAAGTTTAAATTTCTTTTTTAGCGCATTTTCCCATGGAAAAAAGGCCCTGTTGTGCTCGTCATGTCCGTCCGTCTGTCCGTGACTTCACGTTTTCGTCGACGAGAAAATACGCTCTCTGTCACTCACTACAGTGAGTACTGAGTTATATTTTTTATTGTAATCTTCCCTGTTACACAGAACGCGTTTTTGGAGGGGCTCTTGCCCGATTACCGTTTCATGACTTCAGAAGAACTGGGGCAGTTTCAGGGAGGTCCCTACATATATGGCTGTCGCTTCACCACCATGCTGACAGACTGCAGCAAGTTCCTGCCTTACCTCATGGCCAAGTTAGCGACACGCTACTGATATATTTGTTATTAATTTTGGTAAAAATTTTGCCGTTCAATTCATTCCATGACGTTTATGAAAAAAATATAACTCAGTATTCACTGCAGTGAGTGACAGAAAGCGCATTTTCTCGTCGACGAAAACGTGAAGTCATCGAAGGACAGAAAGATGGACGGACGGACATGACGAGTACAATAGCGCCTTTTTTCCATAAATGAGAAAATGCGCTAAAAAAGAATAGTTGGGCAGTGGCACCGCATCATTTCGTGCTAAATAAAATTTAAATTAGACCAGAGCATATATGTCATGGTAATAATGTTTGGTTGGTTCAAGGATGTAGTTTAGGGAAGTAATATCTGGTTTTAGCGGTTAGGAAGAGGAGCTTGGAGTCGAGTGTGAGGGAGTTTTAAGTACATATATATTTAAATTTCCTCAATATATGTCTCTTCGTTGCTCTCGTAGTGAAGAACGATAATTCTTTGCCGAAAATAAAACGAATGTGCTCTTTGACAAATGCTTGCTAGGTTTGCATTAATAAATAGCTGCTCAAGGTACGATTATACCTTAATTAGATTATGTAATATACATAGATAATTATATATATTACGATATAATTATATTAAATAAATAAATGGTGCAGGTTTAGAGATCGTGGAGGCAAGATCATCAAGCAGCGCGTGGCTTCTTTCAATGAGCTCGCCCCACATTTTGATGTTGTGGTGAACTGCTGTGGGCTGGTGGCCGGTGATATGTGTGGTGACTCGACCATCACACCTATCCGAGGTCAGGTCTATAAGGTGAGATGATGAATAAATAAGAATTTAAAGGCAAATAAAGTAGGCAGAAAATTTTACATTTCTTTACATAAGAAAAAGTTTCGGAGTTCAGCTCCATCGTCAGTTCAGAAAGAATCCTATAGGACAAGCAAAATCAATTAGAAAACTAAAATTCACATTGAAGATACAACCCTAAGTCGACATAAGAAAAAATGAATAGACATGAGTGGACAGGTCTATCCATTTAAAATTTCAAGGAGATAGGAGCCGAAGGCGACATTCAAACTAGATTTTTGTTTGAAAATATTCTAGGGGTTTATATTTTCTGGGGGATTCTAAAATTCGTAGGTCAGAAAACCCGGGTCGTGTAAGCTAGAACTCTAAATAATTATTGGGCACCGGGGCATTGCACTTCTCGGCATGGACGCGCACAGCTGAATGAGGAGGATGCGCAAGCAGGGTTCCCGTTCTGTAATTTCAGCCCTTTATGCTCCGCCAGCCTCGTATAAAAATTGCGAGAGTCATACCGACGTACGCTGATGCGCACTGCACACAAATGCATCTATAAACTAGGGACGAACGCTTAAAAAGAGGGAAAGCATCTTTATACTTGAAGAAGACAATTCTAAAATTATTCACCAACACTACTAGCAGATTAACATTCGGAAGGTATTTAGTGAATAAAACTTTCAATTCTTTAGCCATAGTCTCAGATGCATTACCAAAGTGGGGAAAAGAAGAGAAAATATATGAGACAAGATTTTCTCATATAAGGAAAAGTGAGATGACGAATCGGAGATATTTTGCTTCAACGAATGGCCAGTTTCATTCCAAATATATTAATTCAGTGCTTCCCAAACTCACCTTAGTCCAAGAAATGAATTGGTATTTCATCGTTCAATTTAGTGAATCCTGGCATGAGGTATTTATGTTGATAATGTTGAAATAAATAAATTATATAGAATGTGACGAATACAATGCATGAAGATTTAAGTCGTCACACCTATTATTTCCATCAATAATTTTCAGTGGCTTCGGAGGAGCAAAGCTCTCAAAAATTATAGATAGGACACACATATATTCAAAACACTATGACAATATTTTCATTTAAAAACAACTCTGAGGGCAGAATCCCCAAATCGTCAATCCCCAGAATCCCCAAATCGAAGCCCCAAAATTATTCGATTACAGCAGAATCCCCAAATCGTTTCATATAACAATTTCTAATCTCTTCGTGATTTTTGTGCAGGTCAAAGCACCTTGGATAACAGAAGGTTTTTACTCCGATTACGATACTTACATCTTACCTGGACCCGAATACGTGACTCTAGGCGGATGTCGTCAGTTTGACTCCTACAACACCGAGATCGATGTACATGATTCCAAGTCCATCTGGGAACGCTGTCTCCGGCTCATGCCGAGCCTGCGTGATGCTCAGGTGACTTTGGCGATGCAATGTCAACATTTGTTTGATGGTCTCGTGAATTGCCGTTGCAGCGCCGACAAAATTTGTTTCATGCTCTGTTGAACTCATGATGGAATGTCAATAAAAGTCTATTTTTATACAGATCAATTTGCTAATGAATGTAAGAAAATAATTTTTGATGCTCGGGGACAGTGAAAAAGGAAAAATCAGAAGCATTTTTAATTTTTTTAATATAAAAAAGCCAGAAATTAAAGAAAAATAACTTTGTTCGCATGAAGTTCGTTTTGCTCTTCGTTGTTTTCATGGCGATTGTTTTGCTATACAGAAACTGCAACTGAATTTCTATCTAAATCCGCATCAAATTAACATCAAAAACTGAATTAATTCGAGCTTTAAATATGTAATCTATATTACATGATTAATATGACTTACTTGATGCATCCCACTTAAATCGGATGTTCGTTTTGAAAGAAGTACAGTAGCGATAAAAAAATTTTCCGTAGTTTTTAAAATTAGCCAGCGTTTTTCATGCAAAATTTATAATGCTATGCAGTTACGGACATTGTTTAATGTATCATTCGAATCCAAGTCAAAATTTACAAATTTGTATCGAATGAAAATCTCCCAATTCAAATTATTTCGGGTGATCAACTGCCATACGAAAACAATTAATCTGAAGGACAATTGGCACAATATTGGTGTTTAAATTGCGGAGTCATTTCATTCAATAAGTTAACTTCAATAAAAACTCTTATTTCCTGCATTTTTAAATTTGTCATCAACATGTCTCATGTTATTCAAAGTTCCACTGCATTTTCATCTAAAAAATAATTTTGGAAACTATTTCCCAATTCTATTCGTGGACATTTATTCAGACTGAATACGGTTTCAGAATTCAATTGAAAATCAAATTAAAATCGATTGAATTTCTCAAGAGGTTATAATCAAGTTAGCGAATTTTCTTTATACGTAACAAGTGATTTTCCATCGTCAAAAAACTTGCATCGATTCTTTCCTATATGTCCGTTTCTCCCGTTAAGTGAACATTTGCAAAATCGCCGTAAATTCCCGGAACGAAAACTGGCAATTCTTGCGGAATAAAGAACTCAATCTTTTCCTTAAAACTTGCAGATTCTTCTTCAGGGAAAACGCTTTTTCGTATTTTCTCGGTAGTTTGAAGTGTTTTGTGTTCAGATCGTGCGAGANTCTGTTATTTGCCAGCATTTTCTGATTGTGATGTTTATCTAATTTAAATTAATAAAATACCAAATGAGTTCCAGTATCAATTAAATAATAAATATTTGCGTATATTCCAATGATTGTCTGTTTTTCGCTAGCCTTTGATACTTATGATGTTTATCTAATTTAAATTAAAAAATTACCAAATGAGTTCCAATCTCACTTAAATAATAAATATTTGCGTATATTCTAATGAAGGATTAGTAATAAATTTATTCATGCACAGATGGTGCATAATTACGGTCACGGAGGCTACGGAGTAACATCGGCTCCAGGTACAGCCGTAGCTGCAGTGCAGCTCGTGTTACAGTCGCTGCCTGTGACCTCGAAGCTGTAACGAAAGTTATTACAGTGACATTACTTGCCGTAATCTGCGCGAGTAATTTGAAGTCGTGCGTTACATTCATTTGGATATTAATATGATCGAAAGTGTTACGGTATAATATGAAGCAGCTGTATTATTGTGACATTACATGCTATATCTGCACAAGTAATTTGGAGTCGTGCATTACATTCATTTGGAAATTATTATGATCGAAAGTGCTACGGTACGATATGAAATTTGCACACTCATTAACTCTTCAAGTGAAGAAAAAAAGGATCATTTATCAATGCGATATGTCGTAGAACAAACGAAGAGCTTTGGGTTTCTGATACTTTCAGTCTGAAATTAGGCAGACCCTCTTAAATTTATGTATGTGTGAGTATCAGGTATATATTTTTTAACATGGCTATTTTACTACCGATAGGATTTTTAGCACACATATAGCCACTGTACCGATGAATCTATGACGAATTCCATCATGGAAACCATCAATGTTAAGGCTCTCTCGAACAAATTGAACATCATCATTTTGTGATGTTCGACATTTGAACATTTGATTTTCCTAAGCGAATCACTAACGGGAAAATGTTAGTGAATGATAATTTTTTCACTAAATGAGAATTTTTCGCTATTGTTTTGAATTTAAAATTATGATGAAATACTCGTATTAAATAATATTTAAATCCGATATAATTCAAAGATAATTTACATTTAGTTTCTAATTTTACTTATTTTTAGTCAAGAAAAGATTCATTCGCTTTTCTTGCCTTTTGACCCTCATGAAAGATACGATTGAAAATAAAACTCGTGTTATTGGGAATTTTCATAGGGCGGCAAGTTTCTTACCGTCAACCTCGAGATCTTATGTAAATCATGGGGTAACTTGTTAGAAATGAGGTAACTTCTAAGCCATAGGTTTAATAAGTACAGAGAATAATAATGTGGTCCAATCAGCTCATATTTTAAGAGATTATCTTCGTACTTATTGAGTACAACAAAATTGAGCTTGAGATATTCCTGAGACGGAATGTGATTAGCAGCAATGATATGATGTGAATTATTCATTTCTGATAATGAAGAATTAATTTATTTATTATTATCGAAAACATTTCATCATTTTTTATTATTAATAATAATAATAATAATAACGTGAGTTAACCTCCATCATGAATATGATACAATTACCGAGTTTACTCTGATGTTGAGATCAATGAACTTCAATGTACCTTAAGTGTATTATTGCACAAAATAGAAATTAACACATTGATGTCATTGGTGCCCGGTACGCAGCATATTCATTATGGTTGTACTTTTTCTGCATAAGACCGTTAAAGGATTAAGAGCGAATTTTTGCGTCGGCAGAGAGCAAAATGCTGATGATGTTTCGCACTATACGACATGAGTTGAATTTCAACAGTGCATATTATCTCACTGTTTAATTCATTCGTTTAAGGTTATCACCCGATAAATATTGCAAAAATAAATTAGCAGTAGCTAATTAAGCATTTGAGTTAAAGTGTCTGTTATTTGCCAGCATTTTCTGATTGTGATGTTTATCTAATTTAAATTAATAAAATACCAAATGAGTTCCAGTATCAATTAAATAATAAATATTTGCGTATATTCCAATGATTGTCTGTTTTTCGCTAGCCTTTGATACTTATGATGTTTACCTAATTTAAATTAATAAAATACCAAATGAGTTCCAGTATCAATTAAAAAATAATACTTGCCTCTATTCGAATGATCGATTATTAATAAATTTATTCATGCACAGATGGTGCATAATTACGGTCACGGAGGCTACGGCGTAACATCGGCTCCAGGTACAGCCGTAGCTGCAGTGCAGCTCGTGTTACAGTCGCTGCCTGTGACCTCGAAGCTGTAACGACAGTTATTACGGTGACATTACTTGCCGTAATCTGCGCGAGTAATTTGGTGTCGTGCGTTACATTCATTTGGATATTAATATGATTGTAAGTGTTACAGTACAATATGAAGCGACTGCATTACAGTGACATTACTTGCCGTAATCTGCGCGAGTAATTTGGTGTCGTGCGTTACATTCATTTGGATATTAATATGATTGTAAGTGTTACAGTACAATATGAAGCGACTGCATTACAGTGACATTACTTGCCGTAATCTGCGCGAGTAATTTGGAGTCGTGCGTTACATTCATTTGGATATTAATATGATCGAAAGTGTTACAGTACAAAATGAAATTTACACACGCATTTTCTCTTCAAGAGAAGATAAAATATAACTGAGTACTCACTGAAGTGAGTGACAGCAAGCTATTTTCTGGTCGACGAAAACGTGGTCACGGACGGACGGACGGACGGACGGACAGACAGACGGACGGATATGACGAGCACAATAGTGCCTTTTTTTCATTAAATGAGAGAATGCGCTAAAAACTGAGCATTTATCAATGCGATATGTCGTAGAGTAAACGAAGAGCTTCGGGTTTCTGATGTCATCAGTTTGAAATTAGGCCCACCGTTTATGAGCACCAAGTATATTTTTTTAACTTGGCTGTTTTATTATTGTTGGATTTTTAGCACACATATAGCCATTATAACAATGAATCTTTGACGAATTCCATCATAAACACCATCAATGTTGAGGTTAGGTCTCGAACAAATTGAGCATCATAATTTTGTGATGTTCGACATTTGATCACTCGATTTTCTTGAGCGAATCACTAACGGGAAAATGTTAGTGAATGATAATTTTCCGCTATATAAGAATTTCTCGCTATTGTTGTGAATTGAAAATTATGAGGAAATAATCGTATTAAATAAAATTTACATACGAAAAATTCAAAGATAATTATATTTAGTACTTGTAGTTAAGAAAAGATTCATTTACTTTTCGTGTTTTTTAAACCTCATGAAAGTTGCGATTGAAAATAAAACTCGTGTTATTGGGGATTTCCTGATATGGTGGCAAGTTTCTTACCGTCAACCTCGAGATCTTATGTAAATCATGGGGTAACTTGTTAGAAATGAGGTAACTTCTAAGCCATAGGGTAACTTCCAAGCCATAGGGTAACTTCTAAGCAATGGGATAACTTCCAAGCCATAGGGTAACTTCTAAGCATAGGTAACTTCCATGCCATAGAGCAACTTCTAAGCCTTATGGTAACTTCCAAGCCATATAGGGTAACTTCCAAGCCATGGGGTAACTTCTAAGCCATGAGGTAACTTCTAAGCCATAGGGTAACTTCTAAACCATAGGGTAACTTCTAAGCAATGGGGTAACTTCCAAGCCATAGGGTAACTTCTAAGCATAGGGTAACTTCTAAGCCAGACGGTAACTTCCAAGCCATAGGGTAACTTCCAAGCCATAGGGTAACTTCCAAGTCATAGGGTAACTTCTAAGCCATAGGGTAACTTCCATGCCATAGAGTAACTTCTAAGCCATATGGTAACTTCTAAGCATAGGGTAACTTCCAAGCCATAGGGTAAATTCCTAGCCATAGGGTAACTTCTGAGCAATGGGATAACTTTCGTCCTGGAAGCCAGGGTGTAGGAAAGCACGAGAGCTCTTCAGATTTTCTAGTTCTAATCCACTAGCAAAAAATGTAAATGATTAAATTCGTCTAGAAATGTTTTCTCTGAGTTATTACAAGCTACATGAATATTATTATGACATTTACTATGTTAAAGCACAAAATGTTTGCTGCTCTAAAATGAAATCTATTTATATTAAAAAAATATTTTATCACGTTTCATTTGGACACATTACTGATTGATTGATTGACTACACATACTTAATTGATTTTAGAAATTTCGCAACACAATATCTTCATTTAGGCGACTTGCTGATAATAATAAAAATGATGGGATATTGATCTAGATAATGAAATGATTACTTCATGTGAAAAAGAGAATGGAAATTTTTTAACATATCGTACCTATCCGCCTCCTTGTATTTTACGTATCAAATAGCCTTCTGTTCTGCGCATCCAATAGCCTTTTATTTTGTGCATCAAATAGTCTTTTCTACTTATCCAATAGCCTTTTATTTTACGAATGAAATAGTCATTTGTTCTACTTATCCAATAGCCTTTTATTTTACGAATGAAATACTCATTTGTTTTACTTATCCAATAGCTTTTTATTTTACGAATGAAATAGTCATTTGTTCTACTTATCCAATAGCCTTTTATTTTACGAATGAAATAGTCATTTGTTTTATTAATTGCAAAATATAATTGATATTATCCAAGAATCTTTGAATGAAAAATTTATTCAATGAATTATTCAAATTTAGCTTCATGAATTTATATCAATTTTTTTGGGCTAATATAATTTATATTAAGCGAGAAATATATAAAAATTTATGACGCTAATAACCGCAAAACAGAATTGAAATTATCCAAGAATTTATGAAATGAAATTATTTCGGTGATGTTATTGAATGATGCGTAATGGATTATTGTTAAATGTCGTCGACTTCTCATTTATATTTTTTCACATCATTGTATGGCTCACACGTAATTATTTCCTGATAATTGTCTAACCCGTCAGTGGAAACAATAATTATTCGCAATTATTACCATGTCTAAAATTAATACCGTTGTCGTTACTCGGTGGTATCTTATTACTTATTTTACATATAAGAACATGACACATTTGGTAGATTTGTTAATGAAGAATTTTAAAGCTAAGTAAGAACCAAATAAATTCACTACATATCATTAAAAATTTTTTAGCGACTACCCCATCATATCAGTTAAAAAATTTAAGGAACTTATAAGCACAATCAATGGATTGTGCTTGTGTTTACGTCCAAGTTGAACGTATCGTAAACTTCCAAATTGCCTCGCACATACGTAAGCTTTATGTTATTCCCTAGTTGGTTATTTTAATCGACGGATTTTTTTATGCACAGGTTAAACGTATCGTAATCTTCCAACTTGCAGCGCACATACGCAGGCTTCATATTGTTACCCCGGGTTAGGTTATTTTAATCAACGGATTTTTTTTGATGCGCAGGTTAAACGTATCGAAATCTTCCAACTTGCAGCGCACATACGCTTGCTTCACATTGTTACCCCGGGTTAGGTTTGGTTCACTCCGACGTTCAGATTTCAGGTCAGTGCGGCGTAGGCTTCCGGTAGGTGAGGTTGTGGCAGCGGAGCGGTAGAAACCTTCACTCACAGACACGCTCGTCAGCGCCGTGGTTTGTGCGTGAATTGTTAGCGATCCAACCAAATTCAAACTTCGTTTGTAATCGAAAAAATTGCAACGGTTGGCGTGGATGTTTTGAGAAATGTTGTGCTGACTGGTAAAAAATATATTTAGAAAAAGTTTTTGAAGATATGTGAAGGAAATTTAATTTATTTTCGCGCACTTTAGTTTCTAGAGTTTGATTACTTGAAAAATTTGAAATTATAAATTTTTATCTCAAAACTTGCAGCGTTTACAGGAAAACTAATAATTTCTTCTCGTAAGGCAGTAAGTTGACAGAACCATTTCTGATTTTATTGACATTCTCATTCGCCTTCTTAAATTAAAAGTTCACCGAGAATCTGAGAGCAAAAACATGTTAAGTAAATTGATCATATATTCATGGAAAACGTTGCGGAGACCAGCAGCATAAAAAAATTCTATAGAATACATACAAAAACATGCATCTATGGTAATCTAAGTATACGCGAACGGGATTAATACTTAGCCTAAGTTACGATAAAAAGAACGACGGAACAGAAAAAAACAATCGGTTTACAATTACAAGAGGATGGGAACTGAATGCGTTATTATAAGAAGTTTCCCGTTTAAAAAAATGTGCAGCAATTTCAAAACCCATAAATTCGAGCCACTAGGGTTGAAACCGATACATTATCTTGCTATCACTCTTAGTCACAGCCACTGCACACTGTTTAGTGTGAAGACGCTCAACAGAGTGAGTAGGCTCAGAAAGTGGCAGAATCGAACGAAAGCTCCTGCCGTAGTGTTCACATAAACCCGAATATCGAAGGTCGCTGTGTCATTCTGACATACGCTGAAGTAAAGGAGAAAAAAGCAGAAACTATCTATTATTTGTCTCCCAGTTTGCTATGTCCTTTTCTGCATTTAGTGTAACGTAATCAGCAAAACATTAGACGTCTATAGCTGTAACCTTTTCGTAGCTAACGGGACTTCTCAGTCGCAAGCCACCAAGTATGAATATAATTGACGACGATAAATGTACGTGAAATGAAGGGGTTAAGTCGTCTGCGGTTTTCAAACACGTGAAGTTTTGCTATTTCTTTAGTTCTTTTGTTTTTAGACGCGTGAAGCTTTTAGAATTTTAAATTCCGTATGAAAAGTCACGGGTAGAGACGAAAGTTACCTTGGAAGTTTCATTTCGCTAAATTTTACTGAAATGCCAGAAAAGGATTGCAGTTACGGCAAATTGATGAATATTTTTATTTTTTCTTAATTTTGGAATGCGTCAAAAAACTGTTTGAAATTCTTTGGCTCCGCGCAAGTCTTTGGTCGCCATTCTGAATACGGCAGCATTTAAAGGCACCGTTTAAATCAGACGAAAATAAGTAACGAAGGTTACTCGTAGTACAATTTCTCTAAAAATAACATGGTCATTACACGAAAATTTTTAAAATTGAATCTTTAAGAGCCATAATTTTTCATTCATAAAGTCGTCTCTTGTCATTCATAATGTATGCAATATCATTAAAATGTTTCGCATTAATGAAACGATATTGATCAAGTCAATAATGTCGTTGAATATCATTTGTTATATTGTATGCTTTCATTCAAAGTAACATTTTATATCATTCATAACGTCATTATCTATCATCTAAATGTCTCTATGCATAATTAATAGCACGCATTACTATCACGGATGACACCTACTGAAAGAAAAAAGTTGTTTTATGAGATAATTATTAAATGAGTCCAAGAATCGCATGTCATTTTGTGACAAATGGCCGGATGCCGCCGTGGAGCTGTGGCCCTCAGAGGTGCTGTGGCCAGACGTCGCCGTGGAGCTGTGGCCATAAGAGGTGCTGTGGCCAGACGTCGCCGTGGAGCTGTGGCCATAAGAGGTGCTGTGGCCAGACGTCGCCCTGGTGCTGTGGCCTCTTAACAAATACCACATCTAATTCACTTAGGTTCAAGTTGCACGACTTTTAAGAGCAAAAGAATACGCACATGGGCTCTCAAATTTCCAAGGGAAAAATTTTAAGATGAGACTGAGTCACAATTATTGTGAAAAATTTAACGTAGGAAATAAATTTTTACGAACGATGCTTTTGAGAATTTTGATGTTGAAAAATGTCGATGATGAGTGATTCATTTAATTAAGAACATTTCCTCACATAACAGCAAGCTGTAAAATGTTCTTCTATGTTAATCAGAATTCTTAAGTGAGAAATCTAGTTTTCAAAGATTGGTTCTTCATTTGTAAGTTTAGTACTTTTTTCGGTTTTAGAATGTCGATCCGAGAATGTCGATTATTGCTAATAGTTACAGAGAGTTGGAACCACTGATCTTTAAAATAGCGTCCATTATGAACAAAATCATTCGGATAAAGTAAAAATGCAAACTTTTTCGTGAATATTTAATGATTATCTATTGCAATTGATATTGCGGGAATAAATGACGAGTAATCCTTGCTGACATTAAATAGTTATAATGTCAGCGTTGTAAGTATTAATTGCGTATTATTTAAAGTTTATTTCTAGGGATCTTCTGAAAAATTTCCCTGCTCTCTAATCCTTTTGGTCAATAATCTTGAATAATATAATATTGCAAGCGAAATTGCTGCAAAAAAAAAAAAACAAAGAAATTGGTAAGGCAATTAATCCTAGAATTCCGCCTTAGAACGCTAGGTGAGAGTCTTGAAGAAAAATTGCCAGGCATTCTCGCGCACGCTGTCTTGGGAAGCTAAACTATTCAGTTCCTTGCCTTGCTTTGAAAAAAAAAGAAAGAAGTTTATTAATTTAGCCAACGACCAGGAAGGCTCGGAGATGCAACTAAAAAGTTATGAAGTTTAAACTTGCTCAGCTCTGGCAGCAAAGTGTAAAATATTCTCTTTGCTGCGAGCCACTTGTTTTTCCGTTGGATTTTTTTCAATAACCGCAAGCTAAATAATTCCAATGCTTCAGATAAAAAAATCTCGGAAAATTATAAAATATATAATGAAAAGTCCTAAAGCTCCATTGTCTTGCGGTTTACATATATTAATTAAATATAGTCTTCACAAGTCAAGGGATTCCGCGGATGATTATTACAAATAAAAAGCAGTTCCTCGAAATTTTCTTGAGGCTTCAATTTGATTAAGCCACTAAATGAGAAAATCTTAACCTATTAACCTCTTTTTTTTCTCTTATGCACAGAAACTTTAACCTAAATTTTGATGTTAAGTCGTCAACAGAATATCTTTTCCCCTTACACTAAAAGCTAATTTTTCTATGTAAAATGACAAGGTTTGAGTAAACTCATGATATTTAAATTAGATGGAAGGATAATGCCTTATGAATTTTATCAAATTGCACCAAATTGACAAGACCTTCAGCACACTCTAGGTGAGTAAATGTTACTATATTCAAAATGTAAAGATATTAATTCCGTCAATTTTGTGACACTTATTATTAAAATTTGTATTTAAAATTATTTATTGAAATAGCACAAAGTAATAGACAATAGAATATGTTCTGTAGGTAATAGCATCAAAATCAGTGTGGCATGAATTTAGCTGGAAAACTTCAAATTTAGTCAAAAATAAAATGGTAGCGAAGATTTGTGTGAAAATTTGTTACTTTCATGAAATTACCTTCGGCCTGTGATTTGTTTTATTTTCCGCAAATGTCAGAGTTGAGTCTTTGAGCAAAATAATTTCTTACTTGCCATCAATATCAAGAATTACGTGTTAATTCAAAAAATAATTTTTCGTGAATAACTATAAATAGTTTGCCCGAAAATTTTGTCGAAGAAATTCTCCATACTTTTATTGATCTTCCACCTCACGTCACTCATCCTCGTTGAAGTACCGGGCATATTTCCGGAAAAAAATAAATAAGATTCGTCTTATTTTCTTCTGGTGGTTTTCTTGGGTTTTCAGAAATTCTTTTTATTTACACTCGCTTTGAAATTTTTAGGCTAGGCTTCTTTGGTCCCGGTAATGTGCGACCCAGCGAGGATTTTCAGTACCAAATCACCAATTTTCAGCCGGGAATTTCCCACATTTCTTGCATAGCGCAAATTTACGAGAAATACGCAGGGAAAGTGGAAATACCTATTGCGATGTCCAAAAACCATTGTTAACAAAATTTATTATTAATGTTGAAAATTTTGCATTCTTGCTACCATGAATAAAGAATATTATAATTTAAGTTTCGAGTAGTCGTTTTTATGTCTTAATTAAAGTTTATCAAACATACAAGATACGAGTCGTGTTTTACGCCAATTTACTTCATTCTTAATTCAATGTTATAAATGAGTTACGATTTTCATATGAATTCTTCAAAAATGAAACTCGTATACAAAACTCATTCACACGTAGACAATGAGGCGGAAAATTTTTATAAAATATGAAGATCTTATGAATACAACATTTATGATGAAATAAATGTCAAATTTCGGTAAAAAATTTCTAAAAGACAAAGAAGAATGTTGTGATGATATTTTTAAATGCATTTATTCGAGTTTCAGCTGACATTTTTACATATTATGTTTTTACGCGTTTGTTAAGTTCCCGAGTGCGCAGCAGTTATAACGATAACGAGCCACGCAAGAATTTAATACTAAGCATTCATAACGAACGCTAAAAAATGCTTAGAAATCAGAATTATAAACGGCGTCAGGAAATGTTGAACGAAATCCCATAACGGGTCAAATGTGCCTCACACGATTAATTGGCCCACCTTTTGAGGAGAACTAAAATGGTTCGACAGTTTGCGGGTGCAAGTAGCCCGGCAAATATTGGTTCTGTTCATATTTATGAAGATTGTGGTACTTATCGGAAGCCTTCCTAACACACCGCAACACACGCACTTTACTCCCCTGTAAACCCATCTTATTTTACGACGCCACGCAAGAAGCTGGGCGAATGTAAGTCGGAACTTGGTCGACTTCCCAGCACTGTATAAGTCAGGGTTACACTGTAAATAATGTTTCATTGCATTGCGTTAGTAAATTTCATATTACGGTGCATCCTAGACGATAGAAAAATAAGTCGTGTGTTTTATTTATCGATGTGGGATAAACTACACGTCAACATTGTTCGCTACAAGGAGCGTAAAGTTTTCTATGCCAGGTATTGTTTTTCAGGCAAAAAAAACATATCTACAGATTTAAAACATAATGCGGATAATTTAGTTGACCGAGCGGGTGCAATCCCCGAGTGATGAATGGTTAGTGATAGACCGTCAAGAGCAATACTATGAACAAAGGCAACGCCTCAATTGCCTATAAATTGTGATTTAAATGATTATTTTAGATAATAAAAAATTCAATCTTCTCACCCAAAACCGTTTCTACTTATATTATTCAAATCTTTTTCAAATTACCTCAATAAAATCGGGAAAAAATTAGGCGATTTAAACTGAGAAACATTATTGCTGGGGAAATAATATAACAAAAATATGATGAATGAGACAAATTATTGATCGCCGGAATATTGGTGCTGTTCAAACTTACGCGTGCTGACCGCATAAGTTTACCCCTTCAGGGTCTGATTTTCTTGCTCTATGCGCGCTCCCCAGGATCGGGTGATCCGTTGTCCTGCGCGCTATGTAGTTCTCGAGAGACGCTTTCGCAGGCTTGCCGCTTCAATAAACTATAGTATATATAACTATAATAAGTGAGTTAATTATATTAGTATTATTGATGTGAATGGCCTTTCCAAACCTTATTTCTTGTTTTGTCATGTCATGTCGCTGATCTCTGGATTATGTGCATTCGTGTGATAAAATTTGAAATTCAATTCAGGTGTAATCTTAAAGCTATCTTCAATTAAAAATAGATTCATTCATGATTTCTGATGCTCTATTTGAACCACGATGAGGGATCGAAATCTATTGAGGCGAAATTATCTTTTAACTTTCCATTGTTTAACACGGNCTTACCCACCGCACCAACAGAGAGTAGACGGAGCATTAATGCGCAACTGATGTGCAAGGGTGACCCAATCAGGGGCCAAAGTGTATCGCTATTTAGACAAAATGTCACTCAGTTTTATGAGTGTAGACTAACCAGCTACTGTTAACGTCAAAGCAGCGATTCAGCCATCATGTTTGGCCAACATCACTGCAGTCACTTGAAGGCCCTTTGTGCATCTTTGCTGTGTAAGCAATGCAGTCTTCACACTTGAATATGTTTGCCGTCGTTGTTTCTATAGCGTATGTTATTGCTGCGGTATTTATTGAAGACTTAAAGGCCCTTACCGATAGAATAACATCGTTGTACGCTGCCACAAGCCTTGTGATGGATAAACAACGAAAAAAACATTCGATTGCTGGCGTGAATGAGGGCTATTTTATGGGAATAAATTTGTTTCATTATTACTTATGATTCTGGAATTATTTAAAGGGGAATTTTTTATCGACTTAGCTGTCTCGGCATCTTATGAAATTCCAGCAACCACACTCAACGCTTGCATACGGGATATTGTGTTAGGGAACATTATGAAGAAAAGTCTTTAAGTTAAGAACTACGGACACGGCAAGAAAATTTGCAATTTCATAATTTAAACGCATGAAGGACCAGATTTATCTTCGTTTGTGAATTCTAAGTTTCAGTTTTATTTTATCAGTAGGTGGATGAAAAATGTGCTCGACAGAATGTATAATCTGGATCGTTCATTGAGGAAAATATTAAATGGAAAATAAAGGCTAAACAATATAAAGAGGATAAGTAATCATTCAAATAAAATTTCTTCATATATAATCCAGTGATACTCATGATTTTTTCGGCCTCCATTTTTACAGTACGTTGACTCGTGTCTGATTGAATAAAGAGAGACGCTGCAAGACTGATCGAAATGGAAACCTAATTGCGCACACACCTCATTAGCTGTGAGAATTTAGGTGTAACATTGCGACTAATCGATGTTTTGAAGAGTTTTGAAAATAGCGTGTAATACATTGAGATTTGTGGATTTAGAAAAACCGTGTCCTACATTCGGTATATTATATTTGAGGATCTGAAAATACCGAGTCATAAATCCGGTACCTGAGATGTGAGAAAAAAATTACACGTTATTTAAAAATAACGTGTCTTAAATTCGGTCCGATTTGAGTATTTAAAAATACCGTGTACCACATTCGGTACAAGATAGTTGAGAATTTTGACTACGCTGTATATTCCAAGCAAAGCATTGTTTGAAATGTTACCAGATATGTAGTTTTGGAATTATAGTTGTTATTTATTTGGTATTTGTACTTCGAGGATTATCTGGCGTCCAATTCTTGCATTGTAAATAAAGTAACCATTAACTTTACTGCATAATTGAACTTTTTGATACGAAAATGGACTTCGTCCCGGATTATTTTTCTTGAAAAATTTGTTCAAAATTTTCGGCCAATTCTATGTCGTTAAATCTCAATTAATTTGCATTTTATGCAATCATTTGACCTCAATATATATATAGAATCAAGCAGAAGGAAGAAGGAACGCTTTAAAAAGTGAAATTTTAAATGAAATTTCCTAATGAAGTTTTTGGGTTCTTTGCTCTGTTAATTAATTTATAAATTAATTTAATTTAACATTAGTAAACATGGCAAAGACCTAATCCACTCCCCCCCCCCATCAAAAAAACAAGATCGCTTGACTTATGACTTGTGTCAAATCTTTTTTTAATTAATCCACAACCCCAGAGGATTAGCTTCATTAGCTTCGACCTTTCATTTTAAATGAAAATTCTTCTAGAATGTCATCTCATTCAGTGCTTCATTATTTATTCATTCATTCACTAGTCTTTTTAAATCCTAAGTTCACAAAAAAATTTACCAGCAAATAAAAAGCCAAATGAATTCACTAAATCTTTTATGAAGATGACGTGAATTTAGTTGAATTTTTTTTTTTTTGCTTCTAATTTTCTAATTTTCGTAACAAATCAAGAGCACCCAGCAACAACAATGAAGAACGTTAGCTCAAGGGGGAGTCCCAGTCCTGATTTCCCCTGCGGATGTCTAGCAATGAAGATATTCCTCGAGAATCATCCACTTTGGGAGTCTAAGCTGCTCTATATTAAAGATTCAATCAGGCCTGAGCTTCAGAGTTTGCATAGCTAATGCAGGTTTTCCTAACACCCAGCTAAAAATCTTGGCAGATTTTTCGGTGGACACTCGCCGCCGACGATTAGTCGGCTTAGATGACGCATCGGAAGAACTGAATTTACTCATTTAAAATCTCAGTCTGCTTATTTTTCCGACAGCTTATCGGTGGCCGAGGTTTGATTGTCGCTAGGCATGGATAACACTCGTATAAATAGAGGCCTAACTATTAGAATATTTCAATTTTATTTCGGGCGGTTTTGGCGATAGCCGATAGCCGAACTATTGATAATAAATCGAAAAAATAAGAA